AAATAGTTTATATATAACTGTTTAAATATTTTTTTAATACGTTCATTTGGCTTATAAAAAAGAATTATAAACTTTTTGATAGAAACTATCCTATTTTTTTGTTTGCTTTACTTACATGTGGTACTGAATGATAATAATTGACTTTGAGGTGAACAGTGTTGAAGTGTTTGTGAATAACCGTCATTTCTGCTGTTAATCTTTTTGGCATAAGATAGTGAATAGCTGGCAATTTTCGATTAGAATCAAGCTATGTCATCTCAAACTGACGTTAAACATATAAACCACTATATACTAATCCAACAGGATCATGCTTATTATTATTATCCCTCATGAGAGGTCAGCGGTGTGTACTGATAAAAAATCTCAAACCAAATTGAAACAACTGTACAGCAGAGTTAATTTTTTAACTGGTTGTCAGTTAGTAATTGTTCTCAAAACCTGAAGTTGAATTTTATGCAGTTTTAAACTTCAATGTTGAATTTCATCATTTAATTCAGTTACATCATTGAGATATGTCATCAGTTTATTCGCTTAGTTTGAAGTGTATACATGTACTGTCTTGAATTTCTGTAGTCCGCTTGAACTTCTTTATATGGACATTTTTTTTCAAGTTAACGGTTAGCCATTATTGATTACCTAGAGTCAACCTAGTTTCACCTGCTGTGATATCTTTACATATTTGACACTTTTATCACGCAAATTAGTACAATCAAGTGTAGTGACATTTTGTGTTTGATTTTATCAGACAAAAACGGTTGTCTATTTTGACAAATATGTTTAAGGTCATCATGTTAATATGGATTCACAATCATCTTGTCTCAGTGGGAAGCAGTTAAAAACACTTATGATGCTTGTCTAAGGATTTAACTGCTACCTAATTTTACCAATGAATAATCAGTCTAAACAAGGAAAAACAATATATTCATGTGACAGTTAATCTTCAACAAAGAATCTGGATTTGCATGGTTTAGCTTCAGTATTTAGAATGAATAGATTATGTTTAGTGAATTTCAGTTTGAAGGTTATTTAGTGTATAAAAATATTGGTAAAGACAAAGAAAATTGAAATTAATATCAAATAATTGTCGACTTGGTTTCTGCTGCATAATCGAAACCTGAATTACCTAAAATATACGTAGCATAAGCAAACCTTGTGTTTTTTAATCAAATTGAGCGTTTTCAGTTTTCAGTCATTTTATTGAAAGACTACAAATCAGTAAGTTGTTTTATTTAAACTAAACAGACTTATGTACTGCAAACGTTGCAATGATATCATCACTATGAAGCATAAGGCTGAGAAATTCTCAGATATGATTAATGTTATTATAAAATTCTAGTCTAAAAACTTTGTTCCCAAATAATTTATTAATCTACTTTAGCTTAGCTTTCTTATTACCCACTGAGAAACTGAAATATATAATAACAGTGGATGATATGTTACAAATTATTGACCAATAGTTTTCATGTAAAAGTAAACACTGATTAAAAAGCACCGTTTTCAGTAAGACCAGACTGAGTTGACGATAATCAATTTCCATTTCAGATTCCGCATTGTTTTATAGTTTTCTACATGACATAAACCCCTTTTATGCATAAAAAGAATGCACTTAATAGCTCATTCTCTAATATTCAGTCGGTAATGAAACTATTTTTATAATTTTATGACATAAATATCCCATCAATAATGCAAACATATTTTACAAATCCAATTTTTAATTAACTAAAACTATTCTTATCAGATATCTGTCATAGAAATATTCCCACAGAAATTAATAAGCATTGAACAATCCGTAGAATCATAGGTCTCTTATTTCCAGCTCATTATAATCTAACATATTCAACTGATAAGCCACTTAATAGTGATGCGGGCTTGTTTATTCCTTACAAATGTAAAGCTCAATGATCCGTAAATATATCATTCAGTTAGATAAGGGAGGAAAACATGTGATTAGACTTTGAATTACTCACTGACAATTTCGTTTATCCTGGCGCCATATCATTAAATTGTACATTAATATTTGTTTATTCTCTTTGTTACTACTTCACTAAGCGGTATAAATGGTTTTGAAATTTTTTAAATATCCTGTTTCTGTACAAAAAGTAATAATATACACTGTTTATAGAAATATAAATATTTGTTGGTGGACTTTGAAGTGAAAACTTTCCCTTGAGATGAATCAGTTTCTTTGGTAGAGAAATCTCTTTTAATATAATCCCCTTGATATTTTATTAAAAATTTCAGTCTAAAGCAATCAACACTGAATAGAGTATCTCTTTGAATTTAAAACAAAGTGTTCACTAATAGCTGTCGCATAGATATCTTTCCGATAAAAGTATATTAAGCGTATTTATAGAAAATACAACTGACTATAAACACTTGATTTCCACCTAATGGTAGTATACTGTATGATGAAGTGAGTGACAGTATTTAAAAGTATAGAACAAAAGACAAATACAGATGTATAGGTTGTTGAATATTCAGTCGATCTATATCTTGTAAGATTTTTAAAATTTGTTTTACTACTATATCTATTAAATATATACAGTAAGATAATATTGCAAAGTAATTTCGTGTTTGGCTTGATTTAAGTTGGACATTAAAGTTTATGTAGTTTGTTAACCTCATTCTTTTATTTTAGCTCAATGAATAAAGGATTTCCTGTAAACTAACATAATTTAAACAACTAGTAGGCAAACCATGCTAGCCTAGTAGATTTTAAAAGACGAAAAAAAATCTGATCTACTGGAATACCCATAGTAATTTATAATTAAAATTTACTGATAGCTTTCTAAATAGGTCATTGTTCTATGACTTGAATTAGGTCTGATGATGGTAATTTTCAGTTCAATAATTAATTTTTGAAGAAAGAATATTCACATTGCCTAAACTTAATACAGTTGTTATATTTAGTTTTTATGTTTTATGGGTCTTTTTTTGTCAATAAACATTGTAGTAAATATTTAATCGCTACGTAGATCATGGCGAATGTAAATCTTGTCATTAATTTAAGATAACTAATCTGTTGTCCCACGATCATGTGTTAACACTTTACTATTTCATTCCATGTTTTAAAAACTATTTTCTTGTTGTATATATATTAGTTTGAAATCATGTTTATTACAAAACGGGTTGAAGGAAATTGACTGAACTATAATTTGGCTTACTCAATATCCAGGAAACTTTGTATAGACTAAGTGAATAGATTAAAAATTATTATAAACAGATGGAATATGATTTTATTTACTTTGTAAGAACAAATCAAAATATATTTAATGGTCACTAAATATTAAATATTTAAAAAATTATGACTAATTATTTAAATTGAAATCATGTAAGTATACAGTTTCATTTCAAAACAGAAGAACATACTGGAACTTTATAATCGGTTGTCAAGATTGCGGATTAGTCAAATAAAATTACTCTTCAATTAATTTAAATAATTTCCTAGGAAGTCCTGTTCTTGTGTGAAAGGATATATATATATATATATATATATATATTTAGAATTTAAGACGATCAAGTAAATTACTGATTAATGGAGGCTTCATTTTTGCACAACAGTTTGTTACTGATTGTTCTCAGCATAAGCTCATTTTGGAAAAGTTGATGTTATTTTTTTTACGAAACAAAAAGTCGGTCAATTAGTTTAAGATAAGTAACTGGAAAATTGTATGACACTGTATTATTTGACAATGACACGTTTATCCTCCGAGTAGAAACGACCAATTTAAGTTTTAGCGTACGGATTTTTTTTCTTATCCTATTGAATCATCATGTTTTGAGATTTAAAATCAAATTTCCGAATAAATTCTGCCTACTGGATAATAAGATTAGTTTTACAACTAAAAAGTAAACAATTGTATTACTCTAAACAAAATTATTTTGGTTAGGAATAATATACAGCAACAACAGTTAAGTTGGAAAGATGAAAAGTTATTTGATCAAATGGTTTATTATTAAGCAACATACATCAATCTCTATTGTTTCACTATTAATCCGGTTGTGACTTAACTGAAATAATCTGGAATAATTATATTATACTGTTGAACTTGAATAACTCTCTGGATGATTTTAAGCATTTGTTTTACAAATTTTTCTTCAATAAGCATAAAGATGTATGAAATTGTAACTAAGCCTAAATGAAAACATTATTTTTACGCTCTTTATGAATTAGATGTCAATTTGAATTTAAAGTATTTCCCACACAAAATTCACCTTTTTTAATTCACTTTGGTTTCTCTTTTAATCAGTTTTGAAAATGTTAGTAGCGTTACTAAACATTCCCTACAGTTCATAGGTGAGAGAAATGGCATCACAGAAAAATAACTTAATGGGTTTATTTATATCTGACCATAATAATGTCAGTGTATATAGTATAATTAGCTTCACAGTAAATAGTCATTTCGCACATCTTCACATTTAAACGACACCATATTTGCTCCATGATGTTACCAAAACACATTATTATTAATATTATTATTTTAAAGCACTCCTCAATAAGCATACTTTACTCATAAGTTCCTTGATAGATTTTAAAGTGGAAACTCAACCTCTCTGGACAAGCGAAATTACTTAGTTTCAACACACTGGTAGTCTTCCCTTTGAGTATTGCACTTAGTCAAGTATTTTTCCTTTCCCAACTAATAATATCTTTTAATGAATAAAATGCATGAGTTTTAATAGTTGTGATAGAATTTACATAATAAAGAACTTTACATGATAAGGAGCTTCAAACAATTTTCCTGAATGATAATGTATACATTTTGTTTTTGTATTCTGTAAAATGATTAGATAAAAGTTCGTTACGATTATTTTCAGATTTTTGAATAATTTAAACAATTTTCTCGGAGTTTCATTATTATAAGCGCCAATATACAGTCAAGTAATTATCAATGACTGTTAAACACATTATTTTAGCTGATGTTCTAGAATTGCATAAGATTTTTCTGTAGAGAAACTCAGTAATTTCTTTTCGACATTCCTTTATTTCATCCTTTCAGCCTCGAGATATAATAGAACCGCCATGGTTTCCTGCCATATCAACTCCTGAACCACGCAAATTACGTATTATTGGATTGATACCAGAACAGTATTCAGGTATTTCGGATAATCAAAGATCCTATGAGTTTACACTGAGTAAACATTCAGCTGGTCGACTTGTTGATCTGACACGTTCGGTATTTTGTAGACCGTCTACAACACGTGGACTAAGTGATACTTTGGTAGATGCCATCATTTCATCAAGTCCAGCTTGTTCGATTTCTATGAGACAAGCACCATCAGAAATAGAAAATATCAACCCTCCTTTTAATGATGGTTTCCTACGTGATCTAAAGCCTAATATGCTCACCAAGGTTTCTGGAGGATTAGGAATGCGTTTTGGATGGAATGATCAGCTAGTATTAGCTTTACCATCTTCCTTAGAACAAACGTATCACATACCTATCGCACCAAGCATATACGGTCCTATTTCACTTGATACACAATGGTCGTGGAGAGATTGGCGTGGACCAACTGTCAGACGTTGGATGCTGGAAGGATTTCAAATACATACAACTAAAAGATTGCTCAGAAAAATTATTTCTTGGAAAATCCCCTATAATTCTGTATCGAACAGTAACAACCCTGGACTCTATCCTCAAACAGCCAATGAGTAAGTTATTTTATGATTTTAATTACCCAAACGTATCTATTATAATTATTCTATTTAAGAGCTCTGAAGATACGTCTTTCAGATAATGATTGTTAATGAACTGGAATCGTGTGGATAGAAATATAATTACGTTTCTTTCGCCTCTATCAGAAACTCATTTTAGAAAGCAGCCATGTACTGTCAACTATCAATGAGTTCCACCTGTTATGAATATAATATCATCTCGGTTTCATGCTTTACAAAGTTTATATATTCACAAATCTCATTAAGACTGAAAGCATAACTAGAGAATGCGCCGTTTCAACATTATTGCGTTCAGTGCCTTCCCACAGTCCTAATCTCTATTTATTGAAAGTTATTACCATCACCCTTTTCGCTACAAGTCTTTCGCGTTCAACTCATTTCTGTTCTTTCTTTTTGATAACATTTAATTACTTTTTTGAAACTTTATAATAATGTTACACAACTTATTAGGAATACATTTTTAAGTGCTCTAGCAATTATGCTCAGAAAAGTATTGTTATTTGTAAACATCATTAATTATCATTTTGGGAAAATGTTATTACTTTCTTTTGTAAATTTGCGAAAATATATTCACAGATGAGGCATTCTATTCGTTTAATTATTTCCTCATATTTTATATACCGATCTTCTACTCTGGGAATTTTTATTTTATCATTTTCATTACAAAAGTTACCCTTCAATACATTTGTGTCAAAGACTTCATTGTCCAACATATCCAACGGCAAATGTAGTATCAACAAATTTTTAAGTCTAATTAGTTATTTTCAAAATAAAAAATTTATTTTGTCTGTTACACTTTCAGTAATAACTATGACATAATTATTGTTAGGAGCATAATAATAAAACTACTATATGAATGATACATAGATTAGATAGATTATATACAACTAAAATCAGCAGGTGCTTCAAAAGAAATCAGATAGAAAAATATCAGTCTGTTAATCAGATTTCATTTCTAAAATTTTTTGTTATCCATGTGTTGCACCCTGTTGATTGTCATCATACTTTTTCTCAATAAACGATGTTTTGTTGAATAAACTACTGAGAATAATTAGTTGTTTACCTTATAATCTCTAATTAAAAGGCATTTGAACCTTTCGGATTGTATAAAATTATATACATAAATAAATGCATCAGTAAAAGACTGCAGAAAAATGAAGTTGATCACTGTTTAATGATCAGTTAACTGTAAAATAGATCAGTTTGACAAAGCGTCAACTTTGATCCTAATAGATTATCTGTCTTGAGATGGTGGAGAAAATTTGTAGCTTAGGTGGATGATTGTGAATCTAGGTGATACTAATTCAAGTTCCATAGGGTTGGAAGCATATCTGGTGACGAATACGAACCAACACAAAAACTTAATGTACCATCGTCTGTTGACTGCCTTCAAAAACTTGATACGTCAAATTATTGTGTGTAAAATCGTTTTACTTGAACTAATAATCATGTTACAGCTTGATCACTAGTATTCTATCGACAGCGGAGGATTAAACATAAATCACATCGATCAGTTCCTAATTATGAATCACTTGTTGTACATAAGTAATTATTTGGTACATGAACTTAAGCAAGTATTTCCATTTGTTCTATCATGTACACTGATAAATTGTTTAAGTGAACTGAACTAAAGTTAAACTGTTTCAATCAAAATTAATGTGAATTTTTTAGTAGCCAAAATGACATTATTAAGTGAACGGAAGTTTTAACTAATTTCTGAAACAATGAATAGAAACTCTGATCCAAGTTTCTTATTTCAGCATGGATTCATTTATAATAGTAACCTGTAATCAAATAAGCGATTCATGTCCTCTTTAGTAGTTTTAAACATACAATAAACTGTCACATTTTGAGATAATAATATTAAACTATGGAAGTTATGATTTATCTCCAAAACTTATTCCTTAATTATATTTAATTGAAATCGTGAATGAATCAGTGTTAGACCACCTTTAAAACGCACATGCGATGGACGGCCGTTTCGTCCCAGTGTGAGACTCGTCAGCAGCGTGCATCCATGACCCCCGCCATTAGCAGTATTAGAACTCCGAACCTTCGGTCTTGTTTACGAACACCTAACCTCTGGACCACTGAGCCGACATTCAAGTATGTTAATGTGCAACTTCAATCAACCTACAGTTTGCGCGACGTCACTAGTTGTCTTCGATGAGCACTGCTCCACACCGAATAGGGTTTAACTTCACTGGTCATGATTTCTTACTAGAACTAATATTTTTCTCAAGTAGCTAGTCACTAGTGAGCACATGAAAGTTTTACCGACTAAGAGTTGTGGAGATTATTGAAGCTAATGAGTGTCTAACATTGATCGATTCATGATTTCACTGAAACTCAACAATCTCCACTTTATAATCAGAGAATATATATTTACACAGCTTTTTATTATTAATAAGTACTAATGATATTTTTCTGAACCATGCTGAATTAGTTTCTAACTAGGCTTTATATTGTGCTATTTCTAAGTTACTTCACTGGAAAAGTACTACAATATTCCCTGAGTATGATTATAAAAAACTAGTCTAATCGTAAATCACATCTGATATCTGCATTTAGTAATAACAGTTGGATAGTCAACCTACATTTAACTTTTATGTGCGGAAATAAATTTCATGAATTTGTAGTTAAGTTTTGATAAACCAACTAGGAGACATCAATCACAGACAACATAACTTAGTTTCAGTGAGCTGCTGATGTTTTACGCATATCACTTGACTAATATTTTGATCTCACTCGAAATTGAACTTCATTAGAATAACAAGTTCACCTCATTTACGCACCTCGATTTGCGATTAGGCTTCTTGCTAGCATAGTAATTTACGCTATGTTGACGTGTACATTTCCAGTGAGAAAACTGACATTTTCGGACAGGTAACTATTTCATAAGATCATATTAATCAAAAAGTGTTTTGAAGTAGACTGGTGTAAGATAATTTGCTAAGCGAATCGAAATTTTATTTCAACATGTTTTAAATAAATCAGTTGTGACAGATGAAATAAAGGTACAAGAATCAGATTAGTTTCTACCAGTAGATTTTCAAACAATACATTCAATCGGAGCAAATTCTGAATGTGAACAAAATATCACTTTTATTTATGTCTTTAACAGTATTAAAGCAAACAATTTTAAGGTAAGAATAAATTATTTCAATCCACGAACGTCTCACAGTTATGAGTGATTCACTTATGAAGTCCGTGTACATCACTGGATCCATCAAACTACTCTTCACGTTATCGTCCACATATCAATGCTGTTACTGAAGCATCTTTGACTGGTTTCATGACACAAAAGGTTTCTTTTGTTCTTTTAAATAGTGTAAGAAAAGATTTAACTATTTTTGTTTGCTTAATTTTCTTATACATATAACCTTTAATAACAACAGCAACGTTGAAAAGTTTAACCTGCTATAATTTTTCAGCAGCTTCATAAATACGAATAGCTATTTGTTAACAGGTTGTGTAGATCTTCAAGATTTTATGCCTGTTTTACCATTAATTTCCTTGTCTGAATAATCTAGAATATTAGTTTTAATATTATATTATATTCAACATTTTCAGAAAGGATAGTCTAATTACAAATGTTTTAATCGAATTTAACTTGATTATTGTACATAAAAAATAAATATAAAAATGTTCCTGCTTGCATTAATAATTCAAAAGATAAGCTTGCTTGCCTAGTTGTTGAATATTATTTCTTGTTTGTACAACATTTTATCAAGCATATTAATTTTCACAGAGGTAGATCGCTCTTATATGTTGAAAAAGCGCGAGATACTTGAATTATTATCATAGTTTTAAGAAAGTTTGTTTTTTTAATCTTTGATTTTTATTTGTATACATGCAATTTTAATGTACAAATAATGTTTACGTAAAGTAATTTGGATTACAACAGCTAAATAAACAAATAGATTAAAATGATCAACTGATCAGTATTAAAAATTATTTGATATTTCCTTTAAACAAAGAGCAACTAAAAAATTTATACAAATGTTGTCCATATAATGGTGCTTATAAAATAAATATTAAACAAATATATTATAACTTGTAAAACGTATTGGTTTATTTTTGAAATGTTTATATTTGGATAGAAAATATTTGCATGAAATATTATATTTAGAAAATTCTTTAATAAAATATATGTCCATGTGAGTGATATTTTCAAAACAGATTTTATGAGCTTTCTATGAAATACTAAACAGAATTACTAAATACGTGATATACTGTGTATTGAGGCATAATCCGACTATTCAAAACAACTTTCTTTTTGACCAACAACAAAATGTTTTATTTTGCATAATCAAACACAAATATCTCTCATTTTATAAACAAATGAACGAAGCCAGTTGCACATTGAAATCATCAATGAATCATTGTTGGATCACCATTAGAAATCTAAAAGTACTGGACGGCCGTTTCGTTCAGTATCGCGCATCCACGACCCTACCACTCGCAGGATCCGAACGAAGGACACTCGGTCTTGCGCACGACCTCCTAACCTCTGGACCACTGATCTGGAGTCCAATGGTGTGAATGTTTAACTCAAATCAATCTAAGGTTTTGCAAAACCTCACCCAATGTCTTCCTACACCAGACAGGGCTGAACTCCACTGATCATCTCTCCTCACTAGAACTCTGAGGATTTCTGAACAAAGCTAGCTACTCACCAGTGAGCACATTGTACGAGTAGAGGGAATTGTGGATGCACACTGCTGATGAGTCCCATACCAGGAAAAAACGACTATCCAGTGCTTCCAGGTTTCTAATGGTGGTCATTCATGATTTCATTGTCAAACAACGATTTCTATAAAACAGTAATGCGGAAACTAGTTTCTTTGATAGGAATATTTTAGAGTTGAAGAATGAATAATTATTTTAATTTACGAAGATTCCAATGTGATTGATGTTCACCTGCTCTATGCTTACTGATATTATTATGCATAAAATGAGAGAGTTAATCATTCTTCCCTCAATTACTCTAAAATTTTAACAGGCAATAAAAACCAGGATATAAAATTCAGTACTTTTAGTAGCAATATGACTTCCACTTAGGATGCATCGAAAACAAGGACTATTTTGTAAAGCTGTTGTTTACGAGTTCAAAATCACTTTGTGTTAAATGGTCCCTGATTTCCAACTGTTTGCCTGGTATCGAACAGTGAGGAAAAAAAAAATATTTATCTAATCCCCTGACTCTAAATTCATACATTTTATGCAGAAAAAATAGTAGTGGAGTTTGTGAAATTCATGATAATAATAAATTATCGTTTGATTATTCAATTTCCCTGGACTTAGGATTCTCAATATAAATCTGTGTTTATTTACTGGGAAAAAACTATGTCACCTGCCATTTTCAATAACACTATTCAATAAAATAATAACAGTAAACAAAACAATTTACAACAAATTTGAATTGTTACTCCTTTTATTTATTCTTTACTCAATAAGTCCACTAAGATCAAAATCTTGACCTGTAATCTAATAAAAAGAAATATGTGAATATTTATGCCATTATTCTCATTGTTCAAAAAAGGTAATAACCTAATATATGTGTAAAATAAAATTGCTCATCATTTTTTTTATTCATACAATATAAGTAACAAATCAATTTATTTGTTGAATATTAAAGTGAAACTTATTCAACAACAACAACAACAACAACACTAACAAGTCAACAAACAAAACAGAAAATATGATCAGTCAATGCAGAGAAAGAATGAAAGAGAATAGAAGATAATTTGACTGTTATTCTCTTAGGATTTGTTGCTAGCATAAACTAATAACATAAGTAAAGTAGAAAGTGAAACGAAATAGTTATAGGTGAAAATGGAAAAAAAAGTATATACATATTTTATTGAATAAAAAGATACATTGAATTTTCAGGTCGATTGAAGTTTCTACCTTAGTCTGTTAAGTTAATCTATCTTAAGAACAGAGTGTTAAAACAAAAAAGAGCAACAGGATAATAAGAGAAAGACAGAGCTTATATTTTGTAGTTTTTGTCATTTCATTTGCGTTTTTGGAATAAGTATAAATTTAAATGTTCATGGATTCAGGCATAAACATATAGGGCATTTCGAACATTCATTACAATCGGTGCAACGTATGAGCATTGATGATTTAGACATTTTGAGCGAATTACAAATATAATATCAGTCAGATCTTATGTGATCAAACAAATTCTCAATCTTAATTCCGATTGTTCTTGTTGGCTTTTGCGCAGCTTTATTTGCGTTCCATTTGATCATATGATGCGTTTCACTGTCGAATTGAGGTGCTTTATTCCACTTTTTTTTTCATTTACTGAGCTTATTTATTGAATACTAATTTGAAATATGTCTGAGATAATATCACACATTAAGTGTTTATATAATGATTCGCACATTAGCAGTCTCTGATTTTAGCCTACTATAGTACAGAATGACTCGAAGTTGAATAATATTAGGTAGGTGAACGCACATTTTTATTACTTTAGCTTAATGACAAATTACTGAAAATCAAAGAAAGAAAATCTAAAATACATGCATTTTCATTCAACTATCTGAGTAATACCATTGTGAATAATTGATACAGAGAACATATTTGTGTTTATCAGAATTAACATGAATATCAAATAAATGTATTCATGTCATTCACAGTGTTTCTGTATGTAAATAAGTAGTACTGTTGTTAATTAGAAATTGAAATTTTAACGGGTATTAACCTTTGTTTTACAAAGTAATCATAGGTAATTTCGTAGGTTAAATATAATAAGCATATTGTAAATATTAAGTAAAACAGTAGGTGGTCCAACATTTTTTGTACATTTTCATTCTGTTTACTTTTAAAATGACAGAGTTAAAATGGTTACTGTCTAAGACTATTTAGCATGTTCAGTACAAGTTTATAACTCTATTTTGTGAATGTGATATGAAGAACTATTGCAAAAAATTTATAATAATAGTGATATTTAAATTTATTATGCTGATAAGTAAAACATTGAACGTTTCAATCTCCATACTTATTTTTCGTTGTTAATATATGTATAATTTAAAAACTTATTTTGGGTTGCATAGTTAATTGATTTTTTCTCTTTTCAAGATTTTTCCTATCAATTTTATGCTCTTCCGAACAAAATGTTTCATGCATTTCATGTGAGTCCATCATAACACTAGACTACTGAATGAAACAATAAATTCAAAGAAATAAGATAAGAAAATTAGTTTCCTATTGTTTACGAAAAATAATGTAGCGACAGTACACTTGGACACATATAGTATAAAACATTACAACAAATTTTCCATTCAGCATAGTATACACTAACTAAGTCATACATTCTTTCCTCTTACGGCATAATTACAAAAGAAAACTTTTACTCCTGAAAGTTTATTCAACATAAAAAGCTTCCAACGACAATGACAACCACAACTACACCGACAACAACAACAACAGTATTATGTTAATTAGTGTACGAAAATCTCTTCTAAATAAATTGTAACAGTTAATTTCCCTGACTACTTATTTAAAGAACTAGAACTTCAGATTTTTCATTGTTTTCTAACTTTTATCATTAAATACTTTTTATTCTGACCTAATTCATGGATAATTAATTAGCCTACTAGTTGGCTTATTAAGGTAAAAAAAATCAGCTTCAAGTGGATAGATGAATCGTTATTTTAGCTAAATGAATATGTCAATAAACATTTATCTACTTATTCAGTTGTTATTGTGGTTATTTTATGGTTAATTTTTGGAATTAAAAAAACTTCCTTTTTACGAATTTTTTATTAAAATTAAATAGTTCTAAAATCAAAAACACAGTATACAATTTTTTTCTCTAATACATTAAAAATTCAAATCAATCGGTATGATGTAAACAAAATGAAATGAAAATCCTATGTTTTACTAATTACATAGAAAAATATTTTAAAGTAAGTGGGAAAAAAAAGCTTAGTAAGAATAATTTAGCTTTGTCTACTAATTCGATAGGATGCTGATCAATTAATTTGTTTACAAATTTGAGTTTTTCATTCTATGTAAAGAGGTTGTTTCAACTGTATTATCAATTAAAACGTTGTTTAACATTCAAATAAATTTTAACACTGTTTTCAACTTGTCATTTATTAACTTTCACAAAAAAGTCTTATGACTTATGGATCAATGTGATGAATGTTTACAATGATGAAATATGACTGATCGAATATGTAGTGAGTTAGATTATGTGATAAAAGTAACCTCTTATTGTTATCCATAGTACCAACTATTTCTTATCGTAACTCCAATTTATGAGGTGATCATGAAATATTTATTGAATAAGGCGGAAGTTAGCAAAAATACAATTTATTTTGGAAATCTGAAATGAACTGCCTACTTTAGCCAAAGAAAATGAATAAAATTGTTATGAAAAATGTCAGCAGTGTATATCTGAAGTCTGTCTGTTTTACCTCTTCCGAATATTGTTTTGCTCAGTCTAGGGATAATTCATATAATTTCAAACGAATTATAGATTGACTTTTCAAAATATTTTAGTTTCTCATACCTTTATCATTTTATATAATCGTTTTTTATAACTAATTAGACAGCTCCTCAATTCTATGCACATAAATATTTATGAACTAGAGTAACTTGGAATCTGAGCATAAAAATTCCAGTTTGTATATCTTCCAATGAATTATATCACTGCTTTATTTTGTTCATTATTGCAATGCATTCAGGTATGCAAAACTTTTCTTAATAAAGGCTACAAAATTTTTACATTATTTATGTTCTTAATCGATGTCACTATTGAAAAAAATGATTTTGAGTTGTAACTGCGTAGAACTTTTGGCAGTTGGAAACAATTCATGGTGATAAAAAGAAAAACTTTGAGTCTCAATCAGTAGATCGATATTTATGCTGAATGCACATTCCAGATGATTATGCTCTCAGAACTTTGTAGCTTTTAAAACAATTAGTGCGAATTGCACCTTAATACCAGTTGTTACCGAAATTCCATGAAATTCTACTTTTATCAATCTTTTTAATGCCACACGGTCGATTAAATTATGAAAATTTAACTAATAGGGTAGCATTCTTCGTTATGGAAGCAGGGAAAAGAAAGAAGCTCCTAGTTTGCAACTTACAGCTTACCTGGCTACGGAGACTCTGATGTTAAGGTCGAATCCGTTTTATTTGACAACAGACCATTAATGTTTCCAACTCCAGTTACATTTTTACAATGGTATCAGGTTATCATTTGATGATTTTTAATATGACATTGAGTCTTTTACAAAACACGTTTTAGTTATTGTTGTGAATTAATTTTTTTCAGTTATCCAGTATTATTTGCTGAATTACCATGGACAAAGTTACCAACTATTATTTTGTAGTTTTTCCAGTTAACAGCAATTTGCAACAGTCTCTCTCAGAGCACTTTGTTTTTAACTTTTTATGCATTATAAATATACATTTTAAAGATAAAATTCAACTCTTATGAGTGTTTAATATTGCTCCTGTTTTGAGTAGCTTATTTGTTTAAATTTTGTGTTTCAATAAATTCGAAAAACATTTTGATGATTTCTTAATCAACGTAATTACGCACTGCTTTCTTGTTAATTTTTTTTCAACTATGCTTAATTCAAACTCAAACAGATCTTTTGCTGGAATGGATCGTTATGAACAAACTATGATTACAGTTACAGCAAGGTAAGCTTAAAAATTTATAAGTGATATTTTTATTTATTATTTAAACAATGTTTTATTCCTTGTACAAGATGTTTCTAATAGATTTTCTATTTTCTGTCATAACATTTTAGCGTGTAGTAAACACAGTCCATCTACACGTTGATCATTTCAAATTAATTGATATCATGTTAGTGTTGTATGATTGGACCCTAACTTCACCATAAAATTGGAATGCATGATGTGTTCAGGTTTTACTAATAATTATATATATATGTATATTATTTGATGCAAATTGTAAAGTTTATTAATATTTAAATTTAAGAGACCATAGATCATTGTACAATATTTTAAAATTGAAGTTATTCACAATAAAATGATTTCCGATAGGTTAATAAAATTTCAAAGTATAACACATTCTCTTGTACAATAACTCAAAGAAGTTGTTAGGACTAATTTTGTTCAGCTGAGTTATTCATATGTATATATATATATATATATATATATATATATATATATATATAGTATTTTCAACTTCTAGTTGATAACTTTCTATTACATCTAAATATTTACACATATCCATATATAGTTTTTTTACTTTTCAACCGCCTATAACCATACAAAAATTTATCTCAAGTTCTCAAGTTAAATGTCGTTGATATTTCTTTTGTTTACAACAGTTTTTTTCTATCTAAAAAAATTTCTTGTTAGTAACAAAAGTATGCATAATACTCTATTAAAATGTGTTTAACTGTGCATAATATTTACCTTAACAACAGTAACCAATTTAAAATATAATTTTGATTGTTACTGTTGGAATAATGAAAAAAATAACAACATATGTAACAAACTTTTGTACAGACAATTTTCAAGTTAATTCATGTTTTAGTATCAATTGAATGTTGGTTAAATAAAAATTTACAATTTGACAAATGTTTAGATATGTATCACTAGTGATAATTTTAATATACAATTGAGTATAAAAAAATTAATCATTTATCAATGTTGCTTGTTGAATAGAGTTGATTGTTTGTTTATTTACATTTGTATATTCTTTTGTCTGAAAATAGTTTTCTGCTTAATAATTCATAATATCAATGCTTCTTACTGATTATTATAAATATGAGTTTATCAAATAAATTTAAAGCCTAATCGAATTTTTTTTCCTGAATTTGAGTTGACTATTTGTGTACTTGACTGAATATATATGTCCAAATCACTCAGTGATGTCGTTTCATCAAACCTTATTTCTTCATAGTTAAAATACTATACTTATATGTTTATTAATTTCGAAAAAAAAATATATGTGCTATTGAATTGAGAAGTAATCAAATTTACATTTTAACTACCGCTAGTTTGTTTCAACTACATTTGTTTAGTCCTTCGATGGATAACTGTGAAGTGAAATCTAAGAGTTTCAATGATATCTTGTGATTGGTGAATTTTATTCATGTCGCGAATGGGATTGGTTATACTGTCACTGTTAGTCATCGTACAATATCGTGAATCAATGTAAATAAAAGATTTTTACAAGTGAATGGTAGCTTAGGTGTCACCATAGCACGTAATTATTGAAGGTTGGATTTCTGAATCAAAGTTAGGTACACTCTGCTGAGGAGTCTCCAGGATTTGACACTTACGCAGTGTTCTTTTGTTTGCAAAGACTTCATAGGTATCATATCAACTCATATTAAACTCTTACTTCAACACAAAACTAATCTCTTTTCACAACTTAAGCTATCAACCAATGGTGTAACACGCTGCATTTAGGATAGTTATGATGTTTTACCAGCAATGTTATTGTGTGATAAATTTTACGTTAATAAAATGTTGATTACAAAGTTTCCTTAACACCTATTGTTATTCTTATCAAGCATGTTAGTATACAATTTTATCTAACCATTTATCTTAATTTAAGTACTTACTTTAAATGCAATGCTAAGGAAAAAAAACCAACAAAGTCTATAAACAGGTCATTTATAAAAATTATGTACTATAATTGAACTTTTGATACAATATTTATTCATATAGCTATGATGTAAACTGTTATAAATCTGTTTAGTCAAGAATGTTATTTAGTTTATTTATTTTAATAATAATCTCTTAGAAAAATTTTCGAATTGATTATTTTTGTGTTTTCGTTTTTGCATGAATACATCACAAAAATGCCATCATAAAAAAATTTATTATTCTTAAATGTGTTATCTTATTCTTAAGGTTGATAATATTAGTAAAAGGTCAATTAATTTTGATTTATCAACTGTACATTTCAGTAAATCATACACAGTATGTTTATTTCTTGCAGTATTTATTATTCCAATTGTTTATTTTAAATTGATTATTGTTTTATGTATTTAGAATTTATACAATGAAACCTGGAACAGGTCAGCGAATTTATTTAGGCTCTTCTTCATTCACTGATAAACAACACGCTTCATCATCATCTTTTTCAATGCCATCATTTCATAATGAATTTCATACACATGAAGATGGTACCGGTGAATTGATGTTCGACATTACAAGATTACTACCTTCTTGGGCTTTAATTGTTAAACCAGTGAAATCTCATCAATCATCTTCTAAATTCGATACACTGCCTGCAGCTTATTTATATCGAGATAATTTTAGTGGTAGACCTTATTTAATTGGTAGATGCCCAGGAAAAGTTGAATTGAGTTTAGTTGCAACACTTGGTGATTTTCAACCATTAGCTACACTATTAATAGATGTAATCGACTTTGAAAATCTTGCTGTTGATAAATCAAATTCCATGCATACAAATGAAAATGTTGATATTGTAGCGTTAAAAGCAGAATGCATTGTAAGTACTGTTGTTTTGTCATTAATTTTTTTTTATAATGTTTAAACTATGCTATAAAGTATGTACGATTTTGAATTATATAACCTGAGAGTAATGAATATGAATAACGTTGTTGAATGTAAAACATAAAACTATTCATAACGAATTATTTACTCACTGAATCACACACAATATATAAAGTCTCATTTAATTTGAGTTACATTTCAAGATTTGATTGTTCATGAGTTTATAAAACCTTATACTCATTGATATTTTTTTGGCAAATTCTTTGTAAATGTCTCTTTTCAAGATGTCAGTGAGTATGATATTTTTACATTACGGGGTTGTGAAGATTGTTAAGTTAGACATTTTTGAAACCTTGAATCGGTCAGTGTTAGACTACCATTAGAAACCTGGAAGCACTGGACTGCTGAAGAGTCCCATACCAGTACGAAACCGCCGTCCAGTGCCTCCAGGTTTCTAATGGTGGTCCAACATTGATCGATTCATGGTTTCAAAATGTGTAGTAGTTTTATTTCAAGTTTAGCGATAATTTATTTTAGAAATAAGAATTTAAATGTTTATATTTTATAAGGCTTTCATTTAAATCACACACAAAATATAAAAGTGTAAATATTTTGTTAGCTATAAAAACAGCAATCTCAGAATACCACATTATCTTTCCACTACAGGTCAAGCAGTAATTAATAGAGTTTTCGGTATTTTGTAGATGTTATTCACCTTTAATAAACAGTTTAAAAGAAAAAAATATACATATATTTTCTAACACATGTATTAACATGTAGTTTCTTGTAATAAATAAACTATTTTGATTCGATTACGTGATTCTAACACTTTTGAACTTGTTTATCTGTATTAAATACTGCTTATCATTGAGAGTTTGCAGAATTCCCCATGAAGTGAGTTGATTAAGAAGACATGAATATTACAAAAATTTTTATTTTTTAGTCAATGGGAGAAGATTCTTTTTGTCAGCCGATGCTCAGCCTCAAACCACTGACTTCATTTTCAAACTATCCTAATACATAATATTCATCTGTGTCCGTCTGTGTTCATTTACAATTGTAAATAGATTTTCTATCATTTGTTTTTTGTGGAACCGATGAAATCGAATCTAAAAAAAAATAAGCGATATAACTAGTTAAAAATGAAGTAGATTAAGAAAAACATACGAAATAATGTTTGAGAAAGACTATGAAAATATCCTTCTCCACTTCAGTTCTACAAATTAATTACTTTTGTATTTAAAATTTCTTTTCATCTTATCTTGTAGTTTGTTTATCCTTAATTAGGTTAGTTATTTTAAAATCTTCACACCAGCACGTTGATAAAAAATATCTATCTTTGTGTCAAAATCATTCAATGTTTGTATTTTCACATTCTAATCTCCTTTACTATGCGATCTTTCTTGGAAGTATACTATCCTTTCAATCGAAAATTACAAGAAGATGACAAAATTTTCAGTAAATTGATTGCTTAAATATCAGTTTAATTAAAAAATTACTGAATAAAATGTATACAAGCGAAAAAAAATTTGATTAAATAGAAAGTAGATTTTGATTATTAGGAAAAATAATTTGTTAAGATTTCCGATAATTGAGTAAATGTTAGTTAGTACGCTTTTGCTTTTCTGTCTAGGCAATATGTTTACACAAGTAAAGAGTGGGTATACAAAGAATATATATATATATATATATATATATATATATATATATTTATATATATGTAAATGAGGGCATTTTTATAATTGTATTCTTCGGGAATAAATAATCAGATCAAATAATTTTTCTTGTCTGTTTTTCTGCTATAAAACATGGTTTAAGCTAATATGAATATACTGATGTCAGCATTAGTACTATTCAATATATGTCAATCTAATCCTTGTTAGCTATGTGAGACTACAAAAAGATAAGAATACTGATATGTTAAATAAAAATAGACTATCCTGATGTATTTGCTTGGATAAATGACTATGAGATGATGTGGTGATTTTTACTAATCGGAATACATGAAATGACGAAAATCTTATGAAAAGTGACAGTATCGTTTTTTAAAGAGATCAGATTTATTAATAATCTACAAACATCATTGAAAATGTTTAACCTACATCCATAAATGATCACACTATTACTATGTACTAAATAAGAATTTCTACACCACAACAAGCTACCTATTATGATTAAGTAGTAGAGCAAGCAGACATAACATGTCTAATCTTTTTCTTTCTATCAATTTGTTTCAGGACCCACATTTAGAACTATCTGGAAGCCTTAATCCAGCAACAACCGGCAGCTCTGAGAATTTATTATTTGATTATGGTTCTCAGGATATATACAGCAAAAAATATAATTCATTTGACGATAAACATGATGGAATACGAACGACAACAATTCAGGATTACAGTCTTCCGAACCCTCATCGACTAAATATTAATCTCATTGGAAAAAGTCCAAACAGTGTGAAACTGGTTACAGCAGCAGCCTCATCTACAATTAGACACCCACAATCTTTTAAATTTAAGCTAATTCAAACAGATCAAAACACTCCTATAATTATGGATACTGTTGGATCATCAGTTTCTACCGCTGTGTGCCCGATCCATTTGTTAGTAATCAATATAATTTTGTCTGATGGCAGCATGATTGGTGCACATACTGTGCCTAAAAATCAACTAAGGATATCATCTTATGGATCAAAGTATGTTTGGGATCCTGCGATGTTAATGCAACCAGTAGACGATGAAAGAGAATATGCACAGAATATAACTGTACCCATAAACAGTTTAATTATTTGGCCAGCAATCTTAACAGACACCAAGGACAAAATGTTTCATTCACTGCCACTAGCCATAATGGACGATGTGTTTGTTCATATCAGGAAATCAGGAATGGTTCAAGATCCTGGAAGTCCACAGAATGCATCATATTGGTTCAGTAAACAGAAAAAAGATAGAATATCTGAAAGCATGTTCAAGGAAGATGAGCAAAGAAAGGTAAATTCAATGATTTATGCCGTTCAATTAAAATAGTAGTTACAAACAATCAAATAATTCTAACTCGTTGTAAACTGTTTGTGATCAGCTTCTTGTGTAATTTTATTTCTTTTTAATTTTTATTAAACTAGAGTATTTCAACTTCAGTTATCATAATGCTTTGAAAACCGCCACAAAGCTCTGATTGCTTGGTTTAGTGTTTAGTATAAATAAAACTTTTAAATCAAAATCATCAAAATCAACAATTTTAATTTATTATGAAATTCAGCTTCAAAGATCCTCTTTTTCTCTCTATGAAAAGAATTACTAAACTAAGAATTAAAGTTGAGTTATTGGCAATAATAAGCAATATAAATTTTCACAGTTTAAATTATGATCTGATATGAGCTAGAATACCATTAGATGTTCGGAAGAACAAAATAACATTTTAGTCCTTGTAGGGAACTTGCCAGATGTGCGCCTCCTCGAACACACAAGTGAGAACCGAATTCAGGACTACCGTTCTCACATGCAAACGTTTGACCGCTTGACCACTGATCTGGTTCTGAATGGTTTTCATGTCCATCTTCAGTCAGAGTGCGATAGTGTGCAACCTTCATCTATTGCCTGCTTTCTATTCCTGTCTCAACAAAGGAATGTTTTGATGGCTTTAACAACTGAAGTATTTTTTTCATAATGTTTCGCTTTTTTTCTTATACCCTAAGGACAAACATCTCTTCATAATGCTACTATATTGTTTAAATAAGCTGATGCATATATTCCGTCTTTTCAAAAAAAAAAAAATAATTTTTCAGATAATGACAAAAAGACAAGGTTAACAGATGTTCATGAAAATGGACTAGTTGACAATTGCTGATTAGAATCATTCTCACTGATTGTTTAACATATTGAATAGACAAGACAAATGCTCTTTTGTGCTAAAAAAAGTATATACAGAATTTGTTGAGATATATTAAACTAAGGAAACTCTCTGTTGATAATTTCTATTCAGAATTTCAAAAAAAAATGTATTACAATTTATCCCTTTATATTTTTTCAATTATTCTTTACTAAATGATGTGAATAATACTTTTCCTAGGGAAACAATAAAAAAACCTTTATCATTGATAGATCATTTATAAACACAGAAATTATATTTTACTATTCAAATATAAAATATGTTAATAAATTATGCAGTCAATCATCTGTTTGACCTGAAGTATTCACATGGATTGTCATGATGATATCAACATAATAATAATAATAGCTAGTTGACATTCATTCAAATCGAATTTCAGTTGTGTGAATAATAAAATTGTGATTACTGTTATTATTTCCAAATCGAACTAGGTTATTAATATATAGATATGAATATATATATGTATATATATATATAATTTCGGGTTGTATTTTCTATTAAAAGAATGAAATATTAATGGCTAAATGAAAACAAAATCAAATGCTTTTATTCATATTCAAATAATCATTGGTAGAATATTTACTACTAGACCATTTATGATGTGACTAACAAATTCATTCAATCAAACTTATGATTTTTTTTGAGTTCATATGCTTATTAGTGAAACGAAATTTTTTGTTTTCTAATTCTGGTTGACCAATCAATAATCTGATGATGGAACTAATGGATTTGATTATTTTACCTGGTACAAAGTTGAGTTTTTTGTTACCGCTATTTTTTGCTTTAAATATCAATCTTATAACTTAAATTGCAATACAAGCATGTTCAGGATGCGGTTTTCCCCCACGAAATACAAAATGTTGCTTCAAGACTGGGTTTCATCGGCACCTGAACTAGTGATAGGGAGTGAAGTAGTCGAGCGTGTAGACCGCTTCACTTATCTCGGGAGTCTCATACGTGCTGATGGCCTGGTGACTGACGAAATCTCAGCACGGATACAGAAAGCTCGATTGGCTTTTGCCAACCTGTGTCACTTATGGCGAAGGCAAGATATCCGTTTGCTGACTGAAGGACGAGTGTACTGTGCAATAGTTCGCTCCGTCTTACTTTATGGCGGTGAAGCATGGCCAGTGAGAGTAGAAGATATTCGTATATTACCGGTTTTCAATCATCGATTTCTCCGAAGCATTGTTCATATGTCTTGGGACACCTGAGTGAGCAACCCTGTTATTAGGAAACGGGTGCTAGGTAAGAATGGCAGATCAATAGGTGAAGTGCTGAAACTTCATCAGTTGAGATGGTTGGGACATGTGCTGCGTATGCCTAACCACCGACAGCCTCGACGAGCTTTGTTTTGTAGTGTAGGAGTAGGTTGGAAGAAAGTTAGGGCGGCCAGACCAAAACATGGCAGATATCCATGAAGTCATTGAAAAATGGACTGAGTCATGTCGGTAGTTGTCGACTACCTGGTTGGAGTCCGCGAGATGATAATAATCGATGGTTAGAGACCTTGAATGACATGGCTCAAAACCGTTTGCAATGGCGCCAGTGCATTTATTCTCTGTGTTCTCTCAAATCCTAATCTTCTGGATTCTTCAACACCTCTAGTTTCGACTCTCTAAACTTTTCTCACCGAATCATACTTCTTGAATAGTATCTTCTAATCCTAACCTCTCCGATTACTTCTAATTCCCTTACTACCTCTTCTACTATTGGATGTGAATTGACAATTACATCTCTGTGCTGATGTGGTATGGCGACATGAACTGTAGTACTTACGTACGAAGTTCTGACTGACTGACTGATAACTAAAATTGAATGTAGATAATATTTGCAATTCTATGCATGATATAAACAGATAGATTTTGATTATGAAATTTCGAGATCAAATTATTCATTATGTAAATTTAACTTAAACTTTTGTTAAAGAAAAATTATAAAATTCTTTTGATTTTTTTTTTCCAATGTAGGACAGTTCACCGTCGTCATCAAACAGTGGATCATGGCTTCAATTTAGTACTTTATTATCAATGAGCAATAAAGACAATTCTTTCAAATCAAATGATTCAAAAGATCAATTTACACAAACTGTTCCATTAGCAACGTACATTTTAGTGACTGTTGGTTGTTCGGCAATATTTCTTTTAATTGTAACTTGTTCAATTATTATCATTCTTCGTAAAAAGCATTTGAGACAATTAAAAATGGAGAATAAAGCTCATTTCAATCTACTTCCAAGTTATCAAGGTAATTTTGACAAAAAATTAGATAGATTTGACTCAGATGAACCAAATGACATTGGTGATAGAATTCTCAATGGTCGATTACCTGTTTCTCATATGACACCATCTACTGGAGATCATTCTCAGCAACTAAATATAACATCTTCATTTTGTAACATAAATTCTGCAGAACCATTGATTACAGGGGTCTGTGCAGCGGGTTCCTCACCACGATGCCTAGAAAGTAGAACGCAGCTGGTACCTGGACGCAGTTGCAGTAGTATGGGGAGTGTGAATAGTGGCACATTTATTAACAACAATGTTAAGCGATCTATGATTATGGAAACGACTGCAAATCCCTATTTCATATGTTCAGAATCATCATCATCAGGCAGAGTGCAACACGTTTCGCAAAGCAGCTGTTCTACAAATTTATCTCCAGTTAATACTCCACCTGCTATAATGAATTATCAAATGGTTTATAATAATCCCACTTCACGAGAAAATTGGAATACACCACCGACAAATCTATCGATTCATTCCGATCATCATTCTAAAAGTTTGTATTATAATATGGGAAATATGGATCAGTGTGTATTGTGGTCTACAAATCATCATCTCGACGGACAGCCATGTAATGCCGATTACACTAGTGGTCTTGGTTCCGTTGGTACAGCCGAAGGTTGTAGTGACGAAGGTGTAGCATCTGGCATTGAAGTGAATAGCATGTCCCAAGAACTAAATAACAACAACACAAATGGAGTTAGTTGCTTTCTTGGTTCAATGAAGTATCAACAACAAAGACAAACTCCCAACGGTCACCGTTCAGTCACTGATAGTGTCAGTGGTGTGGTAAATAACAGTGGAAACAGTTTCACAAGAAATCAGTCAGCAAAATATAAAAACAGCCTACTAAATGGAACTATTCTTGATAGTTCTGGTGTTTGTATGGGTGGTGGAAGTTTAAGTGGAACTAGTAGTGGAGGAGATATATCTGAATATAGACAAGATAGAGGTTACGCAGGATCACGTCTTTATAATAACAGAGATATGAATAGTAGATCTAGTCACATCATGTGTAGTCCAACAAAAGAAATAGATACAGATTTGAATTCAGTTTCCAGTTTAAAAAATCCACAAAGAGTTGTTGATATGACATGTGATTGTAGGTCGAGTTCATCACCAAAAAATGCACATATGTTCGAAAGTTTCTCAAACTTTGGAGCTCATGTAGAAAAAAGCGAAAATATAAGTGAAAAATCTCCGAAAAGCACAATGGTTTGTGATAATAACGTTTCGAACACTAATCGACGTATAACTTCACAAGATGATTCATATAATAAACAAGATGCTAACTTCTGTTCGAATACACACGACCTAAATTCGAAAAGTAATATCAGTGGTGAGGAGAATGATGGATTTACTCTTCATGTACCCCCTATGATGTTGCTAAATAATCGGGTCACTTCAGAGTTTGTGACACGGTCATCCATAAACTCACCAATAATGCCTAATCGTTCATACGATTCACACGTACAGCCAAATTCATTTAATTCAAAACAACCATTATGTGGTTATAAAAGAAGTGACAGTTTTGGTATGGCCACTCATAGAATACCTGTAGCTTCAGTTGAATGTTATAAAAGTAATGACTTAACTCAAAAGTCGGCTTATAATTTAGATGAGTGTAAATTTGTTTACGATAAACAAAATCTCTTTCATCGAGATTCTCTCACAATGTTTGGTGCAATCGACGAAATGATTGGTGATGTCTCTGATATTGCTGATGAAGGGATAATCCCACAGAAATCTGTTATTAAACAAGAAGAAATAACAAGTAGTGGTGAGAGTAATACCAAAATGAGTGGGATCTCCTATTTGTACAAAATACCGCCTCCTGAAGTTTAAACTTCCTCATCACTATCTTCTTTTTTAGACGAATCCAAACTATAGAAAACCCTTAGGGCGCGGGATTTTCCGCTGATTTTCAGCAGCTTAGACAGATAAATGCGCCCAGACAAACTTTTCAAATCACATTTACTTAAATAAAGTACAATTCAAATTTCTTTCTATTCAAATTTTTAATGCAATCGACCCAGTTTTTATACATAAATTATTTTGCTACTGACTAATTTTTGAGTAGGCTAACTTATAATGCCATAAAGTTGCCTTATGTAACAAAAGTAAACACAATTATACCCAATTTAATAAATGAATAAATCTAACTGCATTTAACTCTGAACATTTTATGATCATTGACATGATCCTGAGTTGATGTTCATTCTTAAATAAACAGTTATTAAATCCTTGAACTACATAAAAATTCAACACCTACTTTTTCACTAGTATTTTCATTTTAATTTTCATACTTCAATTGTAACGATGAATTCGATTTCATTTTTTTAAACACAAAATCTATGTTAAACCAACTCTTTTCAAATGCATTTCAATACACACAAGCTACGTACAAGTTTTTATGCAAATTTTAGGAAATTTACATCAGTCTTATAAGATTCTTTTAAAGGTTAGATTATTTATTAGTTTAATCAAAAGGAGTAATTGGTAAGATATTGACAAACTGTTTTCAATAGTTCTTTATAGATAGGTATCATTTACAAAGCATCCGAAATTGTCAATGCTATGTACATTTAAATGGCGTTTTTTCGGACTAAAAGTGAAACTGGACAGTTCATTATGAAAATATACTTACGACAATGTTCATTGTATTTAGTTACTTATTCTATCTAATATTGTGTCTGATTTTGTAAGCATGAATTCTATCTAACTAAACATTTCAAAACTTTTATTTTCCTTTTTTCAGCAACGTAAATGTTTCTTATTATTCATGAATTCTTATTTCATTATTGTTCAGTAGAAAAGTCATTTTTTTCCAATCTTATACAATTCATAAAATCAATTTGAATTATCTTTGTAATTTGTAATTTTTGTAAAAATGAATAAATATATGCATGGAGTTTGATATATTTATGTATCAATTATTAAATTGAAGTCAGCTTTTAATTTCAAAATTAATAAGCCTCATCAAAATACAATCAGTTTGGGTTATCTTTCAGAAAATCTATGTTTAACTTCTGCGTTTTATGAGAATAATTTGTAATTAATGTTCATTTTTTTTCGCAGATATCTTACGTCATTTAAACAAATCATCATAATTACATTTATAAGAAACGCATATGTATCTGACAAAAATGGAATTTTTCGGAAAATTATTTATTAAATGTTTTCCCAGGGATTCAGGGCATGCTGGATGTTAGTTTCAGCTTTGAAATACGATCGCTTGAGATTTGTTTTGAAGCATACTTGATTGGCTATTAAGTAGGGATTTATTAAGTTTAAATCAAGAGATCGAAATAGCTCCCATGAAATCAACTGTGAGTTATTAAATAGCAAATTAAAATAATAAAGATACATACATAAAAGAAAGTCAAAGTTGAATATCAGGTTAGTGGATCATTTATTTTCCAGTTGCTTACATAGTGCAAGGGTATTTCTTGATGTACCCTAAAAAGTAGTTAGGTTAGCGTTGGCCTTAGAGACCTGGCAGCGTGACGTCAGAGCCCAGGGGACAACTGCTTGAGGCCGGTCACGCACGGCCTTTTTAATAAAGGTTTTTTGAATGTTAGCTCCGCTCTTGAAAGCCCTTAGAGGGCACCCTTGCAGCCGTAGACGGAAATCCGTGAGGTAGGGTGAGGTGTGACATTTTTACGGTCGACCTTTTCTAACCCCTCCTTCCTCGTGAGAAGGCAGCGTCGCTGCAGATACTGGTTGTCCGAGGGAAACGTCTTACTGCTGTCACACCCGTCTGCAGTCAGCAGTACGACTTCGCCCTCAGACCTTGAGTAGCTGCTTTTAGTCTCATCGTTCTCCAATCGACCTGCCTAGAATGGTAGAACCTTCAGGAAAATGTGTTCCAGCCAATATAGCTTGGTTGGATCATCACGACAGTCAAGCCCAACCACCACGCCAAGGTAGCAGCTACGGTCGGGAGACAGAGCAAGTGGCTATAAATTCTCTGTGTAATCACTATAATCAGTCATTAACGATTACTGAATGATAGATTATATCTAAAGTTATATGTACCCAACTCGGTAGTCATAAAGCCTATCGTTTAGTGATCAAGCATTGAACAAATATCAAATCATATTTTCAATCGTGATGATTAAAAACAAAACAGAAATGATTTTTTACAGTTTTTCTAAAATCTCATTGCAACATAGCTTTAGACTTCTTTTCTAAAAATCAATGATAATCATGCTTTTTTTGTCCGTTATTACCACTTAATCTTTCTTTCGACAAAATAAATAATGATATATATAATTTTTCTTTCAGACAGTATTTTATTGTGTAAACAAGTATAACATTTTCCATAAATTTTCTATTACCACAATGTCATGATAAAAAAATAAGTTGAACGATATAAAAATTTCAATAATGACAGCTAATCTATGTGAACATTAATCATTGTAGGTGTAAATAGTAAAAAGCATGTATAAATGAATTCAGTAAAAAAAAATGAATGAGTGAGTATCGAATATTATTGTAAAATAAACAGTAATGAATTAGGTTCATTTTTTGTATATCTGAAATTCTAGTTACTTTTCGATCTATATTAATGTTTACTTTCAGTACACTATAGAAACGTGTTGAACTTCATACAAAGACATCATCAGTGATTTATTTTGTTTTGTCCAATGCGGAAGTTTGGTAGCTTTGAGATATAAAAGCGTTAGTTAATGATGGTTTCAAAGGATTTATTATTGATTGCTCTGATTGTTAGCAGGGTCATTGGCCTCATGAATTCCGAAGGAACTAGGCTTTCACCATGAGGTGTCATAACTGTTCTGAAAGAAGACCTTCCTACTCCCAGGGCAGATTTTAAATGGTTTGAATTATGTTTTCTGTTTAGCGTTTTTATCTAGTTAGTTTTCTATGGCTTATCTTATCTTGGCTTGGGACCTGCAGTAGCCCTGGAGGGTCTCCAAGCGGAGTGAGATTTTCACGATTTGTAGCTTTAAATCGGTATAAATCTTGAAATGATTTTTCGAGCGCGTTCAACTTTGACCGGAGCAAATTTTTTCGTAGAAAATATCAGTCAGTCAATTAGTGACAACACAGAACTTCGTACATGAGTACATAAGTTCAGGTTGCCATTCCGCATCAGCACAGAGACGCAACTGTCAGTTCAAATCGTTGACTTTCGTCTCGCGGGCACCAACCAGGTAGCCTACATCTACCAACATGACTCAGTCCACTTGTCAGTGACTTCATGGATTTGAAGAAGGCAGCATCGCTGCAGATGCTGTTTGTCGGAGGGAAACACCTTACTGCTGTCACACTTCTCTACAGTCAGCAGTACGACTTCGCCCTCAGACCTTGAGTAGCTGCTTTTAGTCTCATCGTTCTCCAATCGACCTGCCTGGCATGGTAGAACCTTCAGGAACATATATTCCAGTCAATATAGTTCGGTTGGGTTATCACGATAGGCAAGCATGACCACTACGTCAAGATAGCAGCTACCGTCCAGAAAATTTCTAGATATGCGATTTTATAAATGCTGAATGTATGATGATTTTATTCATGTACATTGTTATCACCGACAAACTAAGGCCTTCAATGATCACCGCTTAGTGAACCAAGTCACTTATTTCTAGACTTTTGGTGATAATCGTCATTTGCTATAATAATTCATTGATAAGGTCTCATATTATGAAATTGTAACTACAGTTTGAATCTTTTCAAGATATAAGTGCCCCTCACTTATGATTAGCGCAATGCCTAGGTATAATATTTCATACCAACCATTTAATGTAATTATGACTTGCTCTTACCGATGTTTAAATAATGAAAAGCTAATTTAACTTGATATTACACTATAAATAACATTTGTCTTCCATACATAATACAAAATAATGTTATAACATATTCGAATCTCATAACTTGATTGCTTTTTATCATAACATATAGTTAATATAGAAATAATTTCATCATCAATACGATTGTTATTTGTCAAGGACTGTTGTTAAATATGTTAGAATTTATAATTTTAGCTAGTGTTTATGAAACTTGTGAATTGTAAATTGTAATCATAGAATTTATGACAATCATTATTTTTCTGCCTATAATGTAGCATAGAATAAGACATTCATTTTATGTTTTATTAATTATAAGGTAGAAAATAAAAAAAACAGTAGTAGTAATAGTAGTTTATTCAAATTAATGGTAAGGGAGAAAAAGTGAAAAAATAAAATGAAACTATAATGTACTTTTTATTCATTATATGCTGTTAGGAATTTTAATCACTGCCAAATAAATTATTCTAAAATTTGTAGTAAAAAAAATCAGTGGGTTTGTATATATATATATATATATATATATATATATATATATATATATATGTATACAAGTAATTCGACAGAATGCAATAAAGAGAGCGATAATAATATATTGAATTTGTGAAATAAATTAACTGAAAGAATCAAAGTTGACTGTGGAGAAATGACTGTTTCTAAAGTGTACAAATTATTATATCTTATTTAAAATGATTTTATTTGACTACAGAAATGAAAGGAAATAAGCTAAACTTTATGAAAGAAGACTGATAAAAATGGTTGATCATGACAAGAACTAGAATTAAGTAACTAACTACCTATCTAACACTATAGATTAACCTAAATAATTGCAAAAGGACACAATTTACAGACAGATAAATGCTACTTCAGTGATCTGGAATCTGACTCTGATTCGGACGAACAATTGAATATTCTATGAAATAAATCTTCCTTTCGATTTCAGGGGCGAACCCTGTTTGTGCGACAGCGTTGATTCAAAGCCAAATACAGTTTCAAATGGATGAATTTATTTCATACATTTACGTAAGCCGATAGATC